TCATTGTTCACTTTTAGTTTTTACTCTGGATGAGACGCAGAGCACAGGCCAGGGTTAGAACAAAGCAATGAGAGGCTATGAATTGGGTTTTGAAATGATCACTTGGTAGTTATAAAAAACACAGACAAAGAAGAGCAAGAGGCAGATGAGTTAGTAAGAAAAGGACGCAGTGTTGGAAGCAACAGAAAATAAGATCTAAAGGGGAGCACTGATCCCAGGGGAGAGGAAGCGAAATTCTCCAAATAAAGTTCTGGATTTCTCAGGCAGGCGGCTACTTTGTCTATTAAATAAACGTAAGCTCATGGGTTAGACTTGCTTTTGAAAGATTTCTTAATGGAGAAGACAAAATTCAAAAAAGGCCAGGAAGAGAACATCTGGCAAATACTTCCAACTCTAGAGCAGGAAAAGTTATTTTATCTACTTCAAATACAAGTCAAAAAAGCCATTTAAAATTGTCCCTCTCAATGTCTACATTCATTTATCAAATAAAGCAGGAGGGGGGTGGTAACAGTGCACATTTTGAAACAAACTGAGTACACGAAAAACTCAGACTCATTGCCATGGACTTGGAAATGACTCAGAGCAGGCCCTCCGGTGTTTTTTTCAGAGGCTGTAAATCACATAAAAGGAGACTGTCCATCTTTCTTCCTCGGGGCAGCTGATAGATTCAAACCACACTTTGTCACCAAAGCACCCTAAATTGTACAGCGATAACGAAAGAGAGCAACATACTGCTATCAATTTGTTATAACTGCAAACAAAGTATTTCCCTGAAAATCTCTTCCCAAGAGAATTAATTTGGTTACAAATTCAAAAGATGTGCTACCTTCATAGAGTAATAATATGTTTCACTTTCAAAAGACTTTCTTTTGAAATTATGTGTATACTCTACAATAAATAGATAATTCTATAGCCTAACCACGACGCGACGGCATTAAACAACAACAACAACAAAAACCACACATATGTATGTCCTTGGAAAAGTCTGCCTTTTTCAATTACTTCATTTAGGAGATAAGAAATAGTTGCTTAGTGAAATGAGAACTGAGGCTCAAGCAGAAGCTTGTACACCAATGTTCATAGCAGCATTATTCACCATCGCAAGAACATGGAAACAGTCCAGATGTCCAACCACAAACCAATGGATTAAGAAGTTGTGGTACATTCATACAATGGAATAGTACACAGCACACGGGAACAGTCATTTTGTAAATTATTACCTAACTTTGGAGGGACTGGAGAGCTTACGCAGAGTGAACTAACTCAGTCCCACAAGAATAAATATCGTATAAAACCATTATTGTAGAATAAGTATGAGGTTCCAAGGTGGGAGGGGAGGGTGAAAATAGAGGAATGAGGATGTGGGAAGTAGAGTGTTAACCATAGGGTTGTACAAATCAATGGGTGGGTGAGGTAAAGGAAATGGGAAGGATATTTTGTAAAAACAATGGATTCAAACTTTGTAAATAAATCAGAATTAATTTAAAAACAAAAGAAGAAATACCTGGTTATTGTTTTTCTGTGGTTGAAACCAGGACTGATGCAGGCAGCAATTTTAATTGGTCAGATTCTTCAGAGTAATAACGCATTTATAATAAGCTAGTAAATAATTAATTATTAGTGAATAATTTGTGTGTATTTACTAATAAATGGAAACACAGTCAAGAAATCAACCAATGTATTGCTTGATTTGAATAAATCAACTGCCAAGGACCTGTTTAAAGTGCTAAAGTACAAGCATGTCACTTTGAAGACTAAGACGCACCTCACCCAAAGTATGTTGTTTCCAAATGTTTCATACACATGTGAAAGTTGGACAGTAAATAAGACTGAAGAACTGATGCCTTTGACGCGCGGAGCTGGCAAAATGTACGCACAACCTTGTGAATATACTACAGGCTGCCAAAAGAACAAACAAATCTGCTCATTAGAATAAAAAATTATGAAACTTGAGTGAAAAGAGGGTGTTGAACCTGCAAAAGTGTATCAAGCTCTAAAAGGTGCAGAGTCAGTCAAGGAGAAGACCCTCAAAGAGATGAACTGACATGGTGACTACACCAATGTATTTAAGCACAACAAGGATTATGAGGATGACAAGAGATAGGGTAAGGGTTTGGGCTGTCGGACACTGGGTCTCTATGCTGATGCGGCAACAGTTATATAATACATACTCAAGCTGAGCTGGACCAAGAAGAAAAGGAGTCTATCCTAGGTACACGGGCCTGTTTCACACAGAGGCCAAAAGCAGTAAGTAGAGAAGAAACAAAGCCAGCCCCACATGGGTAAGTGAATCAGTTTCCACAATGAGGGTTGTGTCATCTGCATAACGCAGATTGTTGATGAGTCTACCTCCAATCCAGATGCCACACTTCTCCTGATAGAGCCCAGCCTCTGTTCAAATGTATCAGATGCTGGGAGAAAGATGAGCAGTCTCCTTCCATGGGATTTACTGCCTCTGAAAATCTACTGATCCTCAACTATGAGTCAGTTTCAACTCAACAGGACAAAACAACAATTCAATTTCTAAAGGTTTAGGGAGTTGCTTTGTTAACGACTATTTTAAAACTAAAAAGGTGACAGTCACTTCATTATTATGCCTCTAATCCAATTCTAAGAACAATAATATTAAGTAAGGTGAAAAATATGCTATAAAGTACTTGTAATTTTTAAAATCCCAATACCATTAAACAATGATACATTTCAATAATAGTAACTTCCAGGAGGAACTATCCTCCAAAGCTTTATCAAGTAAAAACTGGCTGTCTATATTTTTATGTCACTTTTGTACATCCTGATTTTTCCACAGTAGCAAATCACGAAACAGTAATGCTTTATTGAAAGTTCAAATAATAACTAATTAAGTCACACTAATGTCACAAAAGTTCAGCAAAATAGAAGACTCCATCTAAAAGCAGACCAAGAAGTACAGCCATAGCAAAGCATGTAAAATTATCAACAGTTCACCAGCCAAGGGCCAGGAAGCCTTCAAGTAAAATCATGGGCCTGAATCGCATTCTTCTGTTTTTTGTGGACAATGTACTTTCTTTTAAAAATAAATA